CTGGGGGGAAAGTCAGGCCTGCGCATGGGCCCTGTCCTGTTGGTGTCGGCGTCCCTGAGTGAGCAGCCGCCTGCCGCCCCCTGGAAAGAGAGGCAGCTTGGAAAAGCAGCTTCAAGTCTTGGAGTCCCGCCCAGCTGCTAGCAGCCCCTGGGTCATGGTGCGAAGGGGAAGGGTGGGGGCTTGAGGAGGAGAGAGAGAGGAGTGTGCCCAGGGGCCCTGAGGGCCAATCTGGAGGCATGTGGGGTGAGGCGGTGCTGACTGTGCCCCTGTCTGAGATGGGCAGAGGGAAGGCACCTGGGGCTGAGCCGGGGTCCCCAGGCCAGTCCCTCACTGCTCTGGGGTTTGGTTTCCTCACCTGCACAAAGGGCTGGTCCTGCGCTCTCCAGAGGCCACACGGGGCCTCCCTGGGGCACTGAGTCTGACTTATTTCTGGAAACTGAGGCACAGGAGGACGTTGATAACCGGCCTCCTGCTGTCCTCTTTCCCAGGGGTGCAACTCGTCCATCCCCAGGGTTTCAGATTTGCCCAGCATGTTGCAACAACTGCCTGGCACTCAGCTTGCCCGGTGCCGCCTGACCCTGCAGCCTTTCCCAGGCCTCACAAGGGCGGCACAGATGGGGAAACTCCATCTGCAGGGGCGTCACCCCCGAGAGATGTGGTTGCCCCACACCAGGCTCCCTCGACGGTCACGTGGGTCCCGTGAGGGCACGTGTGACTCTTCCCAGGGTTGCAGCGTTGGGGTGTGCCAGCCTGGCCCCGTGGGTGCTGAGTGCTGTGGACCCCTCGGTCCTCCCGACCTCGTTTCCCTTTGACATAGAAGTCTGCGTGGCATGAATTCCAGTGACAACAGGCCGGGCGGGCCAGGCTCCCTGCGCCCCTGGTACCGCTGCCCAGGGCCGGTCTCTGCAGTCACCCTCCTTCCTTCCTGGTGGCTCCTCCCTCCCTCCTTTGTTCTTCTTTCTTTTCCTGCCTAAATGTTTATCCAGTCCCTCCTGCGTTAAGTATCCGTGCTGTGCAACAAACTACCTTGAGCTTGGTGATTTCACCACCACTGCATGTCAGCGCCCAGCCGTAGATGAGGGTTTGGGAGGTATGGCTGGGCCCGCCCAGGGTTCCCAGGCTGAAGCAGGTGCTGGGGCTGCCAGGCACTGGAGGCTGGGCCTCTCCCACACTCCCTGGCTGTTGGGAGGGTGCATTCTTTTTTCTTCCACGTCCTCTAGGGCATGCACTCTTGGCTGTAGGCCTCCCGTTTCTCTCATGGGCTCTTCCTGGGGTTCCCTCAGATCCTGGAGGTACCCACAGCCCCCTTCCCTGAGGCTTCCCCACCCCCACACTTTGCTGCTTCAGTGCCAGCAGGAAAAATTCTCTCTCATCAGCTTCCTCAGAGAAGGGCTCACCTGGTCAGGTCAGGCCCCACGCTCGGGTGGGCACAGTAGGGCGCACTCCGTGATGCACCCAGAACCCGCCCCCACAGCCCCCAAGTCCTGCACCCCTCTCAGAGCTTGAACCAGGGGCAGCGCAGTGGGCAGCCCCTTGCCTCTCCTGTCCCTGGAAAACTCTGCTCTGGGCGGTTTGGCGGAGAGTGAGAGGATTTGAAAACGTTGGTATGTGGCAGGAGCTGGCACATTCCAAAAGTGGCTCCAGATTCCCTGGACGCCCAGACCATCCACCCTGGTGCCACAGTACCTGATCCCCATGGCCAGGGCATTGGCGAGCAAGGCAGGGACAGGGGAGGGGCATTCTGGGTCCTCCCTCCTTGCCTTGACCTACGTCCCAGGTGACCCAGCGAGGCCCAGACCCTTGCCCCCTGCCCTGCCTCACAGTCAGGGTTCCATGTTCATCCTCATCCTCAGCTGAAGCTATGTCTCACATGGTCCCCCCTGAGCGCCCGTGGGGCCTGGCCAGAGGCAGGTGGGTAACAAGGAATGAGTATAGGGCTTATGGTGCCGTGGCCTGTCTGCTGCCTGGTCTGTCCTAGGGCCAGTGGCCCTGTCCCTAGGGTGTGGGACACAGGTCCCATTCCCTGGGGAAGTGAAGGGCTCAGGCAGCAGGCAGTCCCGTCCCCTCCCCTAGGGTGTGCCTGGGTAGCTCCTGGGCTGGCCGACTTGGAGCTAGCCTGAGTGCAGGTTTTGAGTCTGAGCACCAGGTCTTCACACTGCCCCCGGAAGCCCTTGGGCACCTCCTGCTTTGTGCCACTTGCCCTGGGGTCTGTCCCTCCCTTGGACAGACAACAGTGTCCTACCTTTTTTTTTTTTTTTGAGACAGAGTCTCACTCTGTCACCTAGGCTGGAGTGTAATGGCACGATCTCGGCTCACTGCAACCTCTGCCTCCTGGGTTCAAGCAATTCTCCTGCCTCAGCCTCCTGAGTAGCTGGGATTACGGGCACGCATCACCATGCCCAGCTAATTTTTGTATTTTTAGTAGAGACAGGGTTTCACCATGTTGGCCAGGCTGGTTTCGAACTCCTGACCTCATGATCCTCCTGCCTTGGCCTCCCAAAGTGCTGGGATTACAGGTGTGAGCCACTGCGCCTGGCCCATAATGTCCTGCTCTTGCCCAAAGGCTCTGAGTCATTCGGGTCCCTTGGACACGGAGAAGCCACAGCCCGGTGCCACCTGTCCTTTCTCTCCGCTACTCACAGAGGCCGAGGTCTGCACACCCGTGGCTGTCCCAGGCTGCCCGCCAGGAGCTGCGTTTTCACTGGCCAGGCTGTTTCTTAGCCCTGCGGTTCCCAAGGAAACGGCTTCCAGGCCAGCCCAGTTGAAGTTCACTTTTCTCCCAACTGAAATGAGGCTTAATGGAATCCAGCCTCCGCTCCCTGCACCTCCACATCCTGAGTTTCTGCTCCGGCTCTCTCAGCCTAGGTCAGGTTGGGTGGATGATGACACCGTGTTCTGGCCTTGGGGTTTAGGTCGGAGTTGCTGGGGCCTGTGTAGGGTGATCGCAGCGCTCTGTGGAGAGGGAGGGAGCCGCAGGTGAGCCCTGGAGCACAAACTGCCTGAGGTTGGGCTGGCTGGGGCAGGAGGGCTGTCTTTCGGGCACCCTTCCAACCCGTCAGTCAGCCGTGGGCTGCCCTTCCATTGAGATGCAGGGCAAACTTTGATGAGGTTTGTTCAAGGTGAATGTGTGTGAGGTGTGAGCCACTGCACCTGGCCCATAATGTCCTACTCTTGCCTCTCGCCTCAGGCAAGGGTCCCCAACACCCGGGCTCAGCCTGTTTTGGAGGAAGGAAGGAAGCAGGAAGACTACACGAAGCCCCCAGTGAGTGCAGTGGAGAAAACAGAGCCAGGTGAAGGATCGGACGTGTGGAGGGCGAGCGTGTGGTCACGGGAGGGCTCCTTTGGGCAAAGATTAGAGGCAAAGCCGGGAGCCAAGTGGATATTTGGGGCAGAGTGGAGTCGGCGACAGGAGTAGCCAGTGCCAAGGTCGTGCGGGGGTGCACCCATGTGTAGACCGATGAGGGGGCTGTGGCTGCAGGGGAAAGGTGGGCGGGGTGGGGGGGGGCAGTGGCGGAGAGAACAAGTGGCCCCATTCTTCAGACCCCTGTGTGAGTTTGCTCTGATGGCTGTGACAAAGGACCTCAGGCTGGGGCTTCAGCAACCCACACAGATTCTCCCACAGTCCCGGAGGCTGGGGCCTGAGGCCAGGGTGCGGTGGGGCTGGTTCCTGAGGCCTCTCTCCTGGGCGGCCTCCTGGCGCCTCCTCCCTGTGTCCTCGCAGGGCTGTCCTCCCGTGTGTCTGTGTCCTTATTGCTGCTTATAAAAACACAGGCTGAGTGGGGTCCACGCAAATAGCCTTATTTTAACTTAAAAAATTTGTTTTTATGTTCTGGCTTCTCAATACATTTTTTTTTTAATTAAGGTATTTGTGACACAAAGATCATATATTTAAGATACAATTTGCGATTTATGACCTATTTTTAACCTAATCGCCTCCTTTTTTTTTTTTTTTTTGAGACGGAGTCTCACTCTGTTGCCCAGGCTGGAGTGCAGTGGTGCGATCTCGGCTCGCTGCAAGCTCCACCCCCCGAGTTCAAGCAATTCTCCTGCCTCAGCCTCCCAAGCAGCTGCGACTACAGGTGCCCACCACCATGCCCGGCTTTTTGTATTTTTTAGTAGAGACGGGGTTTCACTGTGTTAGCCAGGATGGTCTCGATCTCCTGACTTTGTGATTCGCCCGCCTCAGCCTCCCAAAGTGCTGGGATTACAGGCGTGAGCCACCGCGCCCAGCCGCCTGGCCTCTCTTTTTGAAAAGAAGTGACCAACACATTTTACGAGATAATGTAACCTCAACACCAAACAAAACGAGGACATTACCAGAAAGGATAATTACTGGTCAATCTTTATTATTAGAAAAATATTTTTAAAAACAGCAAAGAAAATAACAGCAAAATTCATCAAGCAATGGATTTTGTCCCGGGAACTCAGGTTTAGTAAACATTACAAAAGGTACGCAGATAATGCACCTTTTACCACTCTCATCAGTTAAAGGAGAAAAGACGTGTGCCTGTCTCAGCTGGTTCATAGCTGATACTCAGTAAAATTCAACAAAGCAATGACCTCAACAGGAGAAAAATTTTCTTCCAAAAATCTACAGAAAACGCTTGATGGCAAAAAAACAATAATTTTTTTTTTTTAAGAGATGGGGTCTTGCGCCAGGCACGGTGGCTCACGCCTGTAATCCCAGCACTTTGGGAGGCCGATGTAGGTGGAATATGAGGTCAGGTGATTGAGACCATCCTGGCTAACACGGTGAAACCCCATCTCCACTAACCATACAAAAAATTAGCCGGGCGTGGTAGCGGGTGCCTGTAGTCCCAGCTACTCGGGTGGCTGAGGCAGGAGAATGGAGTGAACCCAGGAGGCAGAGCTTGCAGTGAGCCAAGATCACACCACTGCACTCCAGCCTGGGCGACAGAGCAAGACTCCGTCTCAAAAAAAAAAAAAAAAAAAGAGAGATGGGGTCTTGCTGTGTTGCCAAGTGATCCTCCTGCCTCAGCTTCCGAGTAGCTGAGATCACAGGCCTGAGCCCCCGTGCCCAGCTCAGAGGGGCTTCTTGTAAGTTAGGAGGAAGCCCAGGCCTTCCCTCCAGATGTGGTTGAGCTGGAGCTCACTGGAGCTGGGGGAGAGAAAAAGGAAAGAAAGGAGAAGGGCACCCCAGAGAAGGCGCCTCTGTCCCACCCGCAGCGGACGTGTGAGCCACCACGCCTGGCCCCTCAATTTTTAAGAACACCACTAGTTTGTAAAATAGACTTTGTTTTTTATTTTTGCTTTAATGATGCATTTGTCTGCTGTTCTCTGAACAGTGACTGTCTGCCGGGCTCCTCGCTGGGTGCTGGGGATGCCCCTGGAGCTTCCCTGCCCCCAGCAATAGGAGAAGGGAGGGGAGGGGCTGCGGGGCCGCTAGAAGAGGTAGTGGTGCCAGAAGTAGGAGAGTGGCCACACGTGGAAGGAAGGGAGCCGTGTTGTCTGGGGACTGTAGGAGGGTAGGGGGCTGACACATGGGTGCAACCTGGGTAGACATGACTGGGACAGAGGGAGGATGCAGTGGCTACGTAACTGACACCGGGGCCAGGGCAGCCTGGGCGCTGAGAGCAGAGGAGCCCACCATGCCCTGGCCAGGCTTGGACATTGCCAGTGGGGAACAGAGGTGGTCCCACCCGGGCCAGCAGTGACGCAGGAGTGTCCCAGTTTTCCCGGCACAGGCTCCTGGTGACCAGCAGGGACCCTGTCCCCACCTGGCACTGAGTTACCACAGCCCCAAGCTCTGGTTGTTGGATAAACCCTTGTCCATGGTGAGCTGTCTTCAGCAGCGAGCTCTGGGGCGAGAGAAGGCTGCAGTCAGGGACATGGGAAAATGTCATTTCAGAGAGGCAGCTCGGAGGCTGAGAAATGGGCTTCTAGAACCTCACACTCACGTGCCTAAAGGGGGAGCAGGCATGGATCCCAAAGGTGCATGTGTCCAGGCCTCCCTTGGCGGTCCCAGGCCTGCTGGCCTCGGTGTCCAGGTTGGCAGCAGCTGGCAGGTTGTGGTTCCCGCCCACACGGTGATGTTGCCCGCCCCAAGGCAAAGGGTGTCCTGGCGGGGGCCTGAGAGCATCTTCGGAGGAGTCCCTGCCCGGCACCACCTCCTCTCGGCTGGTCTGTTTTTAGGCTGCTTTGAACAGAATAAGCTCTTTTGTTACAAGAACAGGAGCCTGGAAAGCAGGTACAGACCAATGACTCATCCTAACCGCAGGAGTTTACACAGTAAGGACCCAAGCGGAAGCCCAGGACGCCGGCCCTCAGGCCCGCCGCCCCGCGGGACCCCGGCCAGACCCACCGCCCCACGGGACCCCGGGCTCAGACCCAGCGCCCCACGGGACCCTGGCCTCAAGTCTGCCACCCCACGGGACCCCGGGCTCAGACCCACCGCCCCGCGGGACCCCGGCCAGACCCACCGCCCCGCGGGACCCCGGCCAGACCCGCCGCCCCGCGGGACCCCGGCCAGACCCGCCGCCCCACGGGACCCCGGGCTCAGACCCACCGCCCCGCGGGACCCCGGCCAGACCCACCGCCCCACGGGACCCCGGGCTCAGACCCACCGCCCCGCGGGACCCCGGCCAGACCCACCGCCCCGCGGGACCCCGGCCCTCAGACCCACCGCCCCGCGGGACCCCGGCCAGACCCACCGCCCCACGGGACCCCGGGCTCAGACCCACCGCCCCGCGGGACCCCGGCCAGACCCACCGCCCCGCGGGACCCCGGCCCTCAGACCCACCGCCCCGTGGGACCCCGGCCAGACCCACTGCCCCGCGGGACCCCGGGCTCAGGCCCAGGCGGCTTTGGCTGCTCATCTTCAAGGCCCCAAAGCTCCAATTTCTGCTCCTTTTTATTTTTATTTATTTTTGAGACAGGATCTCACTCTGTGGCCCAGGTGTGATTATAGCTCACTGCAGCCTGGACCTCCCAGGCTCAGGTGATCCTCCCTCCTCAGCCTACCGAGCAGCTGGGACCCCAGGCACAGCCACAGTATACCGGCCTCTGCTCTCTTCCATACACGATGTAAGCAGCCGGGAGTGACACCTGCCCAAGTCCTCGTAGGTCTCCTCAGGTCCTGTCAGGTCATCAGGGCCGAGATCGGCTGAGGGTCGGGTGTTCACAGGCTGATTTCAGGCTGGGCCTGCTGACCACAGGGCCTAGGAGTAAACCCCATGTCCCTGAGACCTCTTCCCTGGTCTCCATCCTATCCCTGGTAACTTGGCCTCTGCTTCATCTTGGATAAACTGTGACCCCACAGAGGTCAGAAAGCAAAACCCTGCCCCTGGGAGGTTCTCGTCCCATTTCAACTCCTTTTCTAATTTGATGATGAGTCAGCAAACCTGAGCCTAGAGTGGCTATGCAGACAGGTCCCCGGCCAAAGGCCCTGGGTCTTCCAGCAGCTCTTGTTGTCACCGGGACCTAGCCTGCTCCCAACGTTCCCAAGAGCGGTGGGGCTGTCCCCCGCACCCAGGTCCCATCAGCGAGGCTGGGAGTCCTCTCCCCTCGCTGGCGGACGGGGAAGCCAGGCTCGCCTTCCCTCTGGGTCCTTGATTCTCACTGGATCAACAGTGTCGCAAGTCAGACTCCTTAAAACTGCTTTCCAAGGGAACCCAAAATATCTGTTTCTAGAAGTGTTGGCAGTCAAGAGCTGGAGATGACTCACAGCCCAGCCAGCGTCTCCTCTTCCGCACCCACGCTGCTGGGTCTATTTCTAGACAGGTTGGTTGTGTGTGGAGTTCAGGGAACCTGGATCTTCCAGCATCTTGTCTTCACTGGAATGTTCCATCAGTGGTTCTGTCCGGAGTATCTGGCGCGCTGTTTGCAGCCTCTCCCCTGAAGCTCAAAGGCAATGCTGAGCTCTCCCAGTGATCAAAGACAAAGTCACTTATGTTCCACATCATTGCTCCTTGCATTGATAGATGTTTAATTGCATCGTGGAGGTTTTCTGAGGCAGGCAGTTGGAGTATGGAAGTGGTCACTGTGGAAGCCACAGTCGCGTTTGTGCTGTTTTCAGGAGGCCTTCATCCCGAGCCCTGCACCCCACCCTGGCCACAGTGCCTAGCATCGCCTCCATCCCTGGGACAGGAAGCCAAGGGCCAGAGTAGCCCCTGCCTGTGAGCAGTGAGGGACTGTGCAGTGCTTTCATTCAATCCATCCCCGTTTTCTTATCAACAAAGTGAGGATGAGAATGCCTCAAAATCACAATGCTTACCTTTCAGGGTTGTTTTGAGGAGTAAGAGATGACACACGAGTGGGTTGCACCCAGCAGGCACTCCATGTGTGCAGGGATCAGTGTGCACACAGCACGCACTCCATGTGTGCAGGTCCCTCCTCCTTCTGGACGTTTATTGAGCGCCTCCCTGACAGTGCCCTGCATTCGCTGCAGGCGTCGTGCCCACTGAGGAGAGGCCCCTGGATCGAGTCCGGGTGGGCGCGGCTCCACCTCTCCCAGCTGCGGACCAGGAAGAGCCTCTCAAGCTGCTCTTCAGGGCCATGTGGAGCTGAGGTTGGTGCCACTGTCTGATGGCCCGATGGCTGCAGACCACCGGCTATGTCTAAATCCATGAAAGTCCTAAATGAGCTAACAAACTGTTCGTGAGATCTTTTCTGTCCTCCTACTGAACACCCGTATTTCCACGAAGACCTGGAAGGCCCGCTAGAACTCGGAAACGGGCCGCCCCGAGTTGGGTTTTGGAAGGTGGTGTCGGGAGCTCTTGCCTCAACCCCAGCCTGCAGCCTCCTCTTCCCAGTCGGGACCCTCCTGGCACCACTACAGCCCTCAGCAAATAGCTGTCCTTGGCCGCCTCTCGGGCCTGGGGTGGTGCCCTTGGAGGAAGAACCCAGGAGAGGCTCATGCAGACCCCAGAGGCCAGCTGGGGGTCTTTGGGCAGAGAAATCTCCATCCGGGGCCCTGGAATGTGGTCTAGAAGGTGAGGGTGGGGCACTCTGGGCAGATGTTCCCTGGGCCCTGCGACGGCCCTGCCCTCCGGGTTGAAGGAGGCTGGGTGCCTCCCACAGCCTGGGTCTCCCCACCGGCCCCACCACGGGGAGATCAGCTCAGCAAAGTCACACCCAGCGCTGAGCCTCCCGGTCCCCAGAGCTTCACCCGGAGGTTAGGGCAGAACTTCATCCATCAGGAACTGGGGGTTCAGCCTTTTCCATCCCTCTCCCATCCTGCCCTGGGAGAGGCTGTTCCCAGGTTCAGGGGTTCCTTTGGCCTCTTGGCAGGGTTCTCAGGGGCACCAGCAGTGAGCTGCCCGCGGTGCTCAGTGGTGCCCAGCGGGAAGGTGGCCCCTGCCCCCCACTGGCTCACCTGGCCACAGTGAGATGTCCCCATGCAGGATCCCGCACCAGCTCGGCTTGCTGAGAACCCGGCCAAGGCAGGTGTCAAATATGGTAACCCGAGAAGACAGGAATTTCAGTAGCCTCGGACACAGGGGCAGCATGATCCAGTGCCCAGTGCCAGGTCTGCTCTGATGGCACGGCCAGGATGGCGGGTCCCACACATTCCGACTCGTGTGGAAGGGCTACACTACTTAGAAGAAGAGGGTTTTATCACAGTAGCTAGCGCTGAGGGGACTGCAGTGTGGCCACCATCCCTTATCTTGTTTGCTCACTGCGTGCGCCTGCACAGAGCCCCCCTGCCCTGCTGTGGACACACCGAGGAAGGGGCGTGGGGAGGCTGGAGGAGACAGGAGAGCCCTCCCACCACGCCCCTCCCCTGGCACAGGGCTGCATTTGCCCTCAGCCCCCAACTTACGGCTGCACAGAGCGGCAGAACTGGGGGTGCTGAGGTCCAGGGTTGGGAGGGGCTTAAAGCCTGAGAGGAGAAGAGAAGGAGAAGCAGCAAATTAGCACAAGGTGGCCCAGGATGGGGACCAGGAAGTGACCGTGTGAGGTGGCCGTGTCCACCCATTGCGAGGGTCAGACCTGTGGGCTGGATCCCTCTGAGACTGCCCGCTCTGGAGAAGGCGGCACTCCCAGGCTAGGCATCCCTAGCTTCCCGTGGGGAGGAGAAGCAGCTGGGAAGCCTGTCCCGTGCGAGGGACATCACGGGGCCTTGAGCCGAGCCGAGAGAGATGCATCTGGGTGTGGGTATGGGGTGGGTCTTGGTTGAGCAGCAGTTCAGGGAGGGCCGCAGCAAGCTTAGCTGGGTACCAGCTACTCGGGAGGCTGAGACAGAAGAATGGGCTTGAGCTCGGAGGCAGAGGTTGCAGTGGCGCAAGACTTGCATCATTGCACTCCAGCCTGGGGTGACAGAGCAGGGCTCCGTCTCAAAAAAAAAAAAATTACAGTAATTGGCTGGGTGTGGTGACTCGATTGGCTGTAATCCCACACTTTGTGGAGGCAAGGCGGGCAGATCTCTTGATCCAGGAGTTCGAGACCAGCCTGGGGCATCATTAGCAAAACCCCATTCTACCAAAACAAAACAACAGAAAACCAAAATTAGGCAGTGTGGTGGCATTCATCTGTGGTCCCAGCTACTCTTGGAGGCTTAGGTATAAGGGTAGCTTGAGCCTGGGAGGCAGAGGTTGCAGTGAGCTGAGATAGTACCACTGCATTCCAGCCTGGGCATGACGAGCCAGACCCTGTCTCAATTTAAAACATTATAAAAACAAACAAAAAATACAGTGATGACCGGCGGGTGGCTTATGCCTGTATTCCGCAGCACTTTGGGGAGGCTGAGGGGCGATCATTTGGTCAGGAGTTTGAGACCAGCCTGGCCAACATGGTGATCCCTGTCCACTACAAAATACAAAAATTAGCTGGGTATAGTGGCACATGCCTATAATCCCAGTTCTTGAGGACTGAGGTGGGCAGATCATTTGAGCCCAGGAGTTCAAGACCAGCCTGGCAAGTGGGCAAGACCTCAGCTCTACAAAAATATTAAATTAGGTCGGTGCCATGGCTGGCTGGACACGGGGGCTACGCTGTAATCCCGCCCTTTGGAGGCCGAGGTGGCAGATCACCTGAAGTTTGGCATTCAAGACCAGCCTGGCCAACATGGTGAAACCCCGTCTCTACTAAAAATACAAAATTATGCCGGCATGGTGGCACACCCTGTTAATCGTTAGTACTTGGGAGGCAGAGGCAAGAGGCTCCCTTGAACCTGGAGGCAGAGTTGCAGTGAGCTAAGATCACACCACTGCACTCCAGTCTGGGCCACAGAGTGAGATCTGTCTCCAAAAAAAAAAAGAAAAGAAAAGAAAAGACAGCAAGAACCATCAAAGAAGTTGGAATATATGGGGGACTTCATCAAAATTGAAAAGTTCTGCTTATTAAAAGACATCATTACAAAATAAGTAGGTGAGTCATAGACTGAGAGGAAAATATTTATAAAATACACATTTGTCAATAAAAAGAAAAAGAAGGCAACTAAAAATGGGCAAGCAGTCTGACCAGGCACGTCACAAAAGATGACACACAGATGGCTAATAAGCACACGAAAAAGTACTTGACGTCATCAGACATTGAGGAAATACAAGTTAAAACCACATGAGATACGTCATCAGAAAGGCTAAAGCTAGAGTGATGGGGTGTTTAGCTGTGGTGTGGGCCCCGGAACCCCTCCTGCACACTGCGGGTGGATGTGTAAATGATACAATCCCTTTAGTACAAGATCTGGTAGTTTCTTGTAAAACTAAATATACAACTACCCTATAACCTGGAAACTGCTCTATCGAATTTTTATGGAGAGGCCGGGCGTGGTGACGTGCACCTGGAATCCCAGGCTTGAGGCAGGAGAATCGCCTAGGAAGTGACCGTGTGAGGTGGCCGTGTCCACCCATTGCGAGGGTCAGACCTGTGGGCTGGA